GCTGTCACCGTCTTCTTTTGGCGTTTAGTGCTGCGTACGTACGCTTAGAAAGAATGAATTGTGTAGCCTCCGATGAGCGAGGCAGACACGGCTGTTGGACCGAGTTTGCGAAGTTTATCTTTCCGTTGTGTTTCGACAAAATAGCAAGTGATAGCATCGATAAGACGGGATTTACCTGTTCCTCCAGGTCCAGGCACGTACATACTCAATTAGTCTTGTTTTCCATCTGAAAAGCAAATAATTAATAACCGTATGAAAAAAAAGATGTTTTTACCTGTCTTCAGGTGACTTTCTCCATCGGCATGTCGGCAAACGATGTAAAAAGCATGTGCTTGCTCATCATTGAGCGTAAACTTTTCACAAACTTGGCGGCGAGTTGGAATTGCTAGTGTGCTTGTTGTAATAGACTGAACTCGGTCGTCAATTCGTGTTGCACTTTCTGCAATATTGCTTGTAGTATTAATTGAGATGAGTTCATTAGAGACATGGTTAAGTGGCGTAGGAGCATCCTCTAAGATACTCTGTTGTCGTCTTCGAAGAGCATCAGCTTTTATGGCGGCTTGCCATGCAGTGTTTTGTTGTACTGAATCCTGAGTTTTGACACTGAAATGTGACAGAGAAGCGGATGTCATGGATGGTTGATCACGTTCTAATCAGAAAAATATTTTTATATAGTCAGAGTTACCATTATCAAGAAACGATACTTACTGGTAGAATTTGAAAATCGACCAACTTCATGAAGAGAGCGAAGCGCTTCATCTTGATAAAGCTGCTCTTTTGCAGAAAGATGACTGATAGTAGACGTTTGATTATTATCTGCTAAGCTATCGAGGAAACGCAAATACGTCTCATTTTCATCCGAATCGTCATCATCCTCGTCACTGTCATCTACACACATGTTTCGAGGCAAAAGACGAGGATCTATTTCGTCATTGGCTTGGACGTTTGAGATAATTTGTTGTAGATGTATGTCGCGATCTTTCTTGCAATCATGCAAGAGTTGAATATTTTCGATAATTTGCTTTGATTCTGTTGAAATACTTTCTTGTCGAGAGCCAAGTGCTTCGCGCCAACTCTGATTGACAGCACAAAGATCTTTAACACTTCTCCATGGAATGAAGAGAGTAGCTATTGCTCGGCTATATCGTTCTTGAGTCTCTTCTCTGACTTTACGTGGAATCTGTGGGCCAAGAAGTACAGGAACGATAGGTTTAAGACGTTTAATTATGCCATGAGACTTTGGTTGTGGATGTTCAATCATAAATGAGTATCTCTCTTGAAGTGGACGACCTGGATTTAGTCGAACATCTTCTGTGCTTATGGAGGGACGATCTATGTTAAGTCGATCCTTGTCGGTGAATGACTTTCGATGAAAGAGACTAACAAATTCATAGAGACAGACTGTTTCCAGTGCGGGAGACCGTAACTGATAGTCAATTCGTAAATTGATTAGAACTAGATTTTGTGGATCAGTGGATTGCTCAATCGAGAACTGCTCGTCCGTCATAACGGTAGTCTCCTCCTCTTCGTCCTCGATGAAATCGATCGAATTTGTGTTCGTCGTTTGCATAGTCGTGGAAGACGAAGCAAGAGTAGCTTTATTTTTGTCAAGCTCATTTTGTAGGTGGCGTTCGATAGCTATCAGAAAGATGTTGGTAAATCCATGGCTGGTGTAATGATCGCCGTGATCCATCAGATAAGTGCCTACTTGTACGCCAGAGAGTTCTTGTTGTGAAGCAAGAGAGTTGTAACAGCGTAGAACGAGCTTTGTCGACAGAATTCTCAATTATGCTGTTGTTGTCATTCGGTCCAACAGCCTTTTGCATAAGGGAAAATGTATCATGGAAGGATAAATTTGTTTTTGTAATGTAGTCGGTACAATAATATACGAGCGCTTTTGCATCCGTACCTGACCAGATAAATTTGATGTCCATATTGCAACGGCATACACATATGATGAATGGATTGAAGTTGTTAATCATTGGATGTGAACGACGCATTCGTATTTCGCCTGATGCTGGATCGATGGTTGACATTGGGAACATTTCTCGAGGCATACGCATTCTACATATTTTGCACTCGGTGTTCTTCAAGTATTTGTAGCACGTCGATGTGTGTCTGTGTATATTCGATTCACAGACGAGCAGTCTAATGTCTTCTTTCATTTTTTCTACAAAGTTCATCCACGATGGGTCAGGAGCTCGAAGTAATGATGCAAATAACTTGTCGATTAAAATGGCCGCTAAATACAAAAATTTCAGCTTATAAATTGAAAGAGTCGACACTTACTTGCTGCGCTAGTAGTAACATTTTCTGTTGTCGTCAATGGATGTGACATAATGATGTGTGAATTATCTAGAAAAAAAAGAGTAAATATATTATTTACATACATGCGTTTTTTTGTTCTCTTTCTCGTAGAGAAGAGTCCAGTAGACATAAATTGTCTGATTGCTTGATTGCTTGTCTGTCCGCAGGGTCAAAAAAACATTCAAATTTAATTTTTCAGATACTTCCGGAAAACTTTGACTGGGGGGTAATCGAGGGCGGGGAACTTGAATCTGAGGTTAGTTTAATAAAACTAACTAGTTAAAAATTAGTTAATAATCAGTTAATAATTAGTATTATTATATGTTCGAGTAAAGTTTAACCGAAGGGTAATCGAGTGTGGAGAATCCGAATCTGAGGTAATTTTTAGTTAATAATCAGTTAATAACTAGTTAATAATTAATATTATTAATTTTTGAAATATTTTCGGAAAAGTTGGACCAAAGGCTAATCGAGTGTGGAGAACTCGAGTCTGAGATTGATTTATTAAAATTAATTAGTTAATAATCAGTTAATAATTCAAATTATTAATTTTCGAAAAAAGTTTAACCGAAGGGTAATCGAGTGCCAAGAATTCGAATGTGAGATTAGTTTTAGTTAAAAATCAATTAATAATTAATTAATATTATTAATCTTAAAGATAGTTCCAAGAAAGTTTTACCAGAGAATAATTCGGGAATCGATTTTTTAGAAAAGACATTTTTCGGGCATTTCGATGCGGAGACTTCGAATCTGATGTTAGTTTTATAAAATAATTTTATGGATCACTTTTTTAGGGAGAGAACCAATTTTTATAAAAAAAAATTTTCATAAGGGGTGACCGAAGGGTAAGTGGAGTGGAAGAGCACAAATCTGGTGTTAATTTTTCCAAACTGTATAAGCAAAAAGTTTAGTATTGTAGAATACGATTTCTACGAGAAAGAGCTGAGCGAGCCGGCAGACGAGCGTTACTTGTTGATTAATTGTGCAAAAAAACGAATAATAAAATGAAATAAACAGAAAACACACACTATGATAACTAATTTTCAACTAAATCTACTTTTGTACAAATAAGATTCATTTAATATTTTTAACAACAAACGAATATATATTACAAATGATCCAAATCTTCGCTAATGATATCTTCGAGATAATCTCTAAGATTATTACGAAATTGTTCGTCTTTTATGTT